TCCGAAAAAGTCTGAATTTAGTAGCGGGAATCTGTTAAGTCCAGAAATAGTTCCTAAATTGAAGTGTGGTGAGTTTAATTGAGATGTGGTGAGGTGTGGTTAGTTTGTGTGTGGTGAGTAGATTTGAGGTGAGGTTCAATGAGTTGTAGAAAGGTCAGTTGAGGTGAGTCTAAGGTAAGGTGCTCATTTATTAAACTTCTCCAAAATCAAAAGTATTTGGTTTGAAAGTATTTAGCAATCGACTAAGTACCTTAGTATTATGCAAAAGTATTTGGCATCTCCAAAGTACCTAGATCCTTTCGACCAGAGTATTTAGTGCCTGCTGAATACTTTAATTTTTTGTACTTTAGTATATAACAGCTCAAAAATACCTACGAATTTTTTACTTGACTATTTAGCAAACTCCGAATTCTTAAGTATGTTTACTTGGGTAGTTATCAAACTCATAAATACCTAAGTTATTTTTTACTTGAACATATAGACGTCTCCAAATTTTAAGAAGTATTGCCACTGCCTTAGCCTTTATTGTATCCATGAAAAATCGAAAACTGTATGCAAATGTATCCACCGAAAAGAACGGACATTTTTACACAGTACATCTATGGAAGAGAAACTCGGCCCTTTAACAAACTTATTAACATGTAGTCGGTATTTTCTCATACTTAGACACGGGTTTGGGAAACAAAGGCCCGTAGTTGTAGCCAAAATTAAGTCGACTCTAAAGTTAGTTGCAGCTTTTTGCCACAATTTTCAAGTCGTAAAACTCTTTAAAATTTGCAAACTACTTGGTGTTATTAAATGCACGTTTATGTAGCGAAAAAATTAATTTTAGAAAGTGACAAGAATAAAGGAAAATTTCTTGAGGATGAGCAGCCAACTGTTAAAATTGTTATAATAGCTCGTACACAAATGAAAAAAATTTCCTTTAACTTGCGAATACTTATGGGAAGAGGTATCCAAGTTTATACTGAGGAAAAAAAACGACGTATCCCTCAAAATTTAAGGCGAAAATGTATCCAATTGGATACATATGTAACTAAACGGCAACACTGATTCTAAGTGTTTGACTATTTAGTACCCAAACAAAATTTTTTACATATATAGGTATGCTCATTACTGGTTTCTTTATATATTCTTACTTTTTCTTCCCCCGTTCAAAAAGTCGACTTCGCTGTAGAGTTACTAAGCAGCATGTTGCTTTGATGATGCGGCAGCTGCACGTAAATTCATTGTGTTTATACGGAAAATTTCACAGATATTTTCTATGTACAAAAGCAATGACACGAACCATTTTTTTTTTTACTGATTAATACGAGTAATACATTGGCGCATGTTAACGCATACTTCTCTTTTCATAGTATCGTTAGTAAAACAGCTGATTGGACCTTATCAGTATGGCTTTAGGCCTGGAAAATCCACCATAGATCAGGTATTCACAATACGCCAAATCTTGGAAAAGACCCGCAAGAATAGGATCGACACACACCATCTATTTGTCGATTTCAAAGCCGCTTTCGACAGCACGAAGAGAAGTTGCCTTTATGCCGCGATGTCTGAATTTGGTATCCCCGCCAAACTAATACGGCTGTGTAAAATGACGTTGAGCAATACCACCAGCTCCGTCAGAATAGGGAAGGACCTCTCCGAGCCGTTTGATACCAAACGAGGTTTCAGACAAGGGGACCCCCTTTCGTGTGATTTCTTTAATCTTATGTTGGAGAAGATAATAAGAGCCGCAGAACTGAACCGCTCAGGCGCAATACTTTATAAGAGCGTACAATTGCTGGCGTATGCCGACGACATCGATATTATCGGTAAAAACAAGGGCTACGTCTGTTCTGCCTTCTCGGGATTGGATAGAGAAGCAAAGCGAATGGGTCTGGTGGTGAACGAGGACAAAACGAAGTATCTCCTGTCAGCACACAAACAGTCAGAGCATACGCGTCTTGGCACCCACGTCACTGTTGACAGTTACAAGTTTGAAAAAGTAGACGACTTCGTTTATTTGGGAACCAGCATTAACACCAATAATAATGTCAGCCTTGAAATCCAACGGAGAATCACTCTTGCCAACAAGTGCTACTTTGGGCTGAGTAGGCAATTGAGAAGTAAAGTCCTCTCTCGTCGTACAAAGATCACACTCTATAAGTCACTCATCATGCCTGTGCTGGTGTATGGCGCGGAAGCATGGACAATGAAAGCATCTGATGAGGCGGCTCTTGGAGTTTTCGAGAGAAAGATTCTGCGAAAGATTTACGGACCTTTACGCATTGGTGATGGCGAATATCGCAGACGATTTAAAGATGAGCTCTATGAGCTTTACAACGATATAGACATAGTGCAGCGAATTAAAATTCAGCGGCTCCGCTGGCTTGGCCATGTCGTTCGGATGGACAGAAACGCTCCTGCTCTGAAAATATTCAACGCGGGCCGCGATGCTGGGAACAGAGGAAGAGGAAGGCCTCCTCTGCATTGGAAAGACCAGGTGGAGAAGGACTTGGCTTCACTTGGCATTTTCAATTGGCGTCAGTTAGCACAGAAGAGATATGACTGGCGTGCTGTTTTGGACTCGGCCAAAATCGCTTAGGCGGTTACAGCGCCAAATAAGAAGAAGAAGAAGTCAGTAAAACATACAAAAAATTTTGTCAAGAAATAAAATTTTTCCATCAACCATTATTTGTAACAGTTAGGCGCGATGAAATGTAAATACTTATCTACAAGGGTGTCAAATTTCATCCCGATATCCATTGTTGTTTAGAAGAACATTTTTTCTACAATTTTGTTATACCTTAAAAAAATATTGGCATCCCAATATAATACATTTAAAAAATCCGCGACTTGGCAAAGTTTTTGTGGCACTCTTCACGTGGCCGCACTCATATACATTTATGTAATATACATTTCTTTTGCTATTTATTTTAACTCACTCTTAATTTTATTTGCGCTGATTTTTCACAATTTTCATGCTTCTATCATTTCACTTTCCATTGCTTGCGGCAATGGACTCTTGGCTCCTCTTGGTTACCACCGACCGCAATTATGGAAATTCGCATCAAACTAACCACAGCGAACAAACGAAGCGAATGCATAATCACTGAAATAAAAACAAAAGAGTCACTGCAAAAATTACAAGAAAAACAGCAAGTCAAGTAAAAGAAAAACATACAAAACAAGTAAGAAAGTCTAAGTTCGGGCGGGGCCGAACATTAAATACCCGGCGCAAGTATTACATATATGCCTTTTCACCTTTCCGAAAGCTACAGCTACATGGTAAGCCGGGGTGTATCAATTTTGAATAAATTAGCGTCCTTAAATTTCGAAATTGACGTTTCGAGCATTTCTAAAATTTACCGTTATATGAAAAGCCGTAATTTTAGTCCGATTTCAATAATTTTGAACGTTTTGCTTTTATGTGACAAGCACAATAACCATACCGAGTTTGGTACAAATTGGTAGAACGGTTACCGATATACATATATGTGATCATAAGTGGGCGGTGCTACGCCCATTTTCCAAAATTTTATCATGAACGTATTTCTTGGTAAAGAATGGTTGCAAGCATCAATTTTGAGTAAATTAGCTTTAATAGTTATTGATTTAGCGAAGATTTCGTATTTCTCCAAATTACCGTTATATGGGATGTGGGCGTGGTTATTGTCCGATTTTAGAAATTTTCGGCCAGTTGGTATGCTGTACCAGGACCAACAACTGTGCCAAGTTTGGAAGAAGTTGGTGCAGCGGTTACCAAGATATACACATGTAACCATAAGTGGGCGTGGCTACGCCCATTTTTCAAAAATTTATAATATTCTTATTTTTCGTCTAAAACTTATTATAAACATCAATTTTGAGTGAATAATCTCCAGTAGTTACTTAAATATCGCAGTTTTCGTATTTCTGAAAATTACCGTTATATGGGAGGTAGGCGTGGTTATTGTCCGATTTTGCCCATTTTCAATACCCTACGTCCTACGCCCGAAAGAAGTGCACGTGCCAAGTTTCGTTAAGATATCTTAATTTTTACTCGAGTTATCGTGTGCACAGACGGACGGACAGACGGACGGACGGACGGACGGACGGACAGACAGTCACCGCTTAATCGATTTCTCTTTTCATCCTGATCATTTATGTATACATTTGTCTATATCTATCTCGATTCGTTTTGCCTGTTACAAACAACCGTTATGTGAACAAAGTTATAATACCCTTGTGCACAAGTGCGCTCGGGTCTAAAAATTTTCTAAAACAGAAAACCCAAGAATGGAGCGAATATATAAGTAGAGAATACAAAAGGAGCATCAAAGTGCAGGTTGAATGAAACTCAAAAGGTGGAATGTGTAGAAGAGTGGGGTAGAACGCTTCAGCAGTGTTGCGTTTGTGATTGTTATGAAAATTTTTCGCATGAGCAGCGGCAATTACCATACTCCAAGCGTACAAATATCAATAATTTGAATAGTTAAAATCAGTGACTTCGTAGATGGATTTTTTAAACAGCATGATGAGTTGAAAAGCAATATAAACCACCAGTGTGCAAAGTAATCATATTTTAGTTTATCCGATATGATATGGATGTAGCCGTTCAATTCTTAATTTATAAGTTGCATAAAAAAGTTTTTTGTAAAACTAAATTTTGGATGCCTTGGTAAAACATGGAAATTTCTAGGACTCAGAAAACCTCTGCATATATGTACACTGGTGTCACTCATCCTTAGGATGACTTTGTCGAGGGATGAAATTTGTAATAACCTCAAAAAAATTACAAATTCTCAAGACAAAGCTCTAATCGCTTCTAGAGCCTGGCTAGTCTTCTGTAACTGAGATTTTCTCAACAGTGCCCAAACAGGTTCTGGCATGGAAATCCCTTATACAGATAAGCTATTCCAGCGCTTAACCAAAAATTTTAATTCCGAAAAAATGCTTGTAAAACAATTTTCTATGCCCTAAAAATCTTATGAATACTTTAGCGATATGATTAAAATTCTTATTTTTTTTCATTTCAGGCTTGTATCAAAATATACGACAGAATGTAGGCGACTGTAAGATGAGCCTTGATCCTTTCGTAGAGTGCCAAAAAAAAGCCCAAAGCGGCAAACAAGAACTTTTCTAATTCATCAGCCAAGTGCAGAAAAAGCAACGTAACTTAATGTGGGGAATTGCAAGCAGAGCTGTGATGGACGCGTATAACAACACACCAATGCTTTCCACAAAACGCAGAACCACCCTAACTGCAATGACGTGAATGCAATTTCAATGCACCAAGGCAAAAACTTCCGTAAACGCCACACTGCTGGCCAACATATTTTACAAATATTTTCACAAAAGTACAAAAAGTACAAAAGCTACAATTATAAAGCAGGCAAACAACAATAACTATAAATTATAAACGCACATAAAAGTACATACATACATAGCTACACTGAAGCGCCAATCGTCGGTGTTGTCGCCTAAATGAAGTTAACAATCTGTCAAATTGGTAAATTATTTCTGCTGCTGACAGCCTTCTACCTACTCCTCCTCGATTCCCCACAGTTGTTGGGTGTGCATTGTACACTGGCGAGCTCGGAGTCCACCACACAGAGAGTTGCCAACGTAAAACGAGGTGCATTGGATGCTGCTACTGCTGGTGAATTGACAACAACGAGTGCGAAAATAACTGCAACAACAACAGCAACGACAAAAACGAAACAAATAACTACAGCCATTAATGCAAGTGCTGTCAGAGCAGTGATAGTTGACAACAATAATAATAATAATAATAATAATAGCAAGAAAAATAATAGTGCAAGCGACTGTAAGGTAGAAGCTGGCGTGAAGGCTGAACAGCTATCCGAAGTACGAGTACAACAAATTATAATTTCAAAGGTAAATATTACAGAAAACAAGCCAAAAATCAAAGAAACAACCCAGACAACTGTGGGAAAACAGATAGGACAAGTGACAACAGCTCAACGCACGACTGGGGCGGCAACATCAACAAGCCCATTGGGATCGACGGCGTTGGAGCACGATTTCACAAAAATAGAAGGTGTGCAAAAACTGCAAAAAGAAAGCAAAATAAACCATAAAGCTTATAGAACAACAACAGTGGAAGTGGAGAAGTCAACGGAAATCGGGAAGCCACTGACGCTGGCAGTGGCAGTAGCAGCAACAGCAGCATCAACAGCAGAAATACGAAGAGGAAAGGATGGGCAGTTGTCAACAGTTGGGCAACATGTTGCGGAAACTGCGAAAGACAGACCACAACGACAACAACATTTGCTCGCAAAACAAAAGCAACAGCAAGGACAACTGCAAACGTTGCCAGACAATCAGCAGCAAAGTCAACAGCAACAAGTGCAGCAACAACAACATCAAAAAGTCACTGCACGGCGACCAACAGAGCAAGTTGGCACAAAACTGCGGCCAACAATAGCAAGACAAACAACAACACCGTCAACTTACTCAACGGCCATGTCTGCCAAAACAACTACTGGCATTCACTCATCCAGCCAAACGAGTAAAATTAAAAAGTTTCCAACCAAAGTGTCAAAGCAGCAACAACAACAGCAACACCAAAAATACCAACAAAACCCAGCAAATGGAAAGACTCAACCGAAAGACAACCGAAACCAAAGCAAACAAAAGCGACGTGAAGCGCAACTGAGGCAGCAGCAGCGCCAACAACGGGCGAATGGTGTTGAAAAACAACAACTGTTCAATCAGAAACAACTACTGACACAACAGCAACAACTAAAAGAGGCTGCTGAGCTGCATCTAGTAGCAAGAGAGCAATTGCAACAGGATGCACAGCACGTGCCACAACAGCAACCGCAACAAAATCAGCAGCAGTCGCAGCCAAGACCCGCACACGCCACTCGAGGCCGCCAGCATGTAGGCGTTTTAATTCCGTCCCGCATACTGGACGTGTTGCAAGTGCAACAGGGTTTTCACAATTTTCTGGATTTCTTTCACGTCAATCTACAAAATGTCAGCGTCGATTTTATACGTGACGATGGTGAGTAAATACTACGCAGGCATCGATTTCACTGCAATAAATATAAATATGTACATACAATATAAAAAGTCCCTTGACAATACTTACTTTTATGTTCATATTTATCTACATACATATCACTATCGACATATTTGCAACTCAGTATTGCAAGTTGGTGAAACGAGTCGACGAGGCGCAATGCAAAGCAATGCAGGTTATATGCACTTATGTGTGTACGGGCATATGCAAGTGCGCTTAAATGTGTCAAAATGTAGTAGCACAGGAATTACATACATACTTACATACGTATTTACATACATTAGGGTGCATGTCATTTCATACAAATAAAAATCGATACACATTTTCCAGCGGAATTAGGTTAGGGCGTTCTGCTGTTCGCCTTTTAGCAATCTTTTTTTTTAATTAAATTAAATTTAAAAAAATTTAATTTAAAAAAATATAAATAAAGCAAAAATACATTGAAATATTTTTTTTAATTACAATAAAATCTAAATATTAAATTATAAAATAAAGATTAAATCAAAAAAGAAGAAAATAATACTTAAAACTGAAAAAAAATAAAAAATTTTTATAATTAAAAAAATCTAAATTATTAAAAAAGAATAAATTAATCAAAAAGAGAGAAGAAAATAAATTAAGATCCCAAAAATTAAAATAAATAAATAATTTAATAAAATTAAAGATATATACATACATATATATTTTTTTAAACACTGTCCAAAATTAAAACAAAACTAAATCAAAAGAAAAAACTCTAATTTAGAAAAAGAAAAAAAAAAAATCCGCTGCTACAGGACTCAAACCCGGTTCTCTGTTCTTATACGTCAGTGCTCTGCTCACTCGACTATTGCCACTGTTGAAGCGACGCGAGCTAAATGATATACAAATGCTTTCTCTCAAAATAAATTTTCACCACGAGTGGTGAATGAGAGAGCTTTTTGTGCTAGAATAACAAATGTTTTTCGAACTATCTTGCTATCTGTCTTACCAAAGGCTTTGTACTATCTTAGCCAGAAATTCCATGTAAATATATCTTGCTGTCCTGCACGTGAGTTCCGCTAATCATATTGTATTTGCCCGTTGAATAAAATTATTCTCCAGACATCTCATAGCTCCCTTGCTTGCGGTAAGTTCAGCTGGTAAAATGCTGCAGGTATCTGTCAGACGAAAACTGAGGCTAAGGGAAAGTTCTTTCGAGCATACACCACTTCCCATCTTCAGTTCCAAATTGGAGCCATCAGTGTACCCCTTGAGGGGATCCTTGTTTGGAAATGATTTCCCCGCCCACTGGAGGGGCTGTATGGTCTAGGCGAATGATGACTGCTGAAATACCTCCCAGAGTTTTCGAATCTCAAATCACTCCACCTGATCAACTCGTTTAATCTAGAAGAAATACAATATTCCTGTAGTTTACCATATAAATAGGTCCACATGTGAAAAGGCTTCAGTCGCGTAAAGCGCATTGGACCAGGTCGCATAGTCCAAGTGGAGGTGCTTACCATCTGCCGTCGGGCCAAGATCATCAGCGTAAACAATGACCTGACAACCGGTGCCCTGCAACTGTAGCAGCCGAGTATTCAGCGTTGGATTTCAAATGAGTAGGGGGAAAGGACATCTCCTTGCGGAATACCTTGATTTGCGTATCTTGTTACGGATACTTCCCCTATATCCGAGTTCTACTGCCTAAAAGGTGACGAACAAATTCCACAAGGGAATGTTACATCCCAAGGTGAGTTAGGACGTGGAGAACAGCCTATGGGGGAACAAGGCACTTTCGATGAATGGTGTTTCGTTTTTAATATTTAAAAATTTTTCAACCTAAATTTTTTTTTTATTTTTTTATAAAAATATGGCTCATGATTTAACAAAAACTGTATAAATCACACTTTCAAACTTTATACAGAACTTAGAAAAATTTCACAAGTGTTTATCAAAATTTTGAGCTTTTAAACCAAAATTTTTAGAAATTTTTTGGGTATGCAGTTAACAAGCTTATAAAATTCTAGTAAATCAAGTGCAAGTTTTGAGCGGCTAAAAAATCACATTGGTTTTTAATAATTTTTGTTTGTTGACAGCGTTTTGCACTTTTTTCCTTATAAGTATGAATTTCTTATGGAAGAATACGCGCCAGACCGTTTGCAAAAAAAAAAATAAAAGAAGTCAACGCCAGTTTTCCTAAATTTCGCTATTAATATAAAAAAAAAAAAACATAAAAGCTGTCAGCAAAAAATAACAAAATAATTATTAAAAATCAATAGGAGTTTTTAGCCGCTAAAAACTTGCACTTGTTTTACTAGAATTAATAAGCTTGTTAACTGCACACCAAAAAAATTCTACCACGTTTTTATAAAAAAATATCAAAAAAAATTTAGCTGGAAAAACATTATAAATATTAAAAACGAAACACCATTCATCCATTTTTGACCGAAAATTTTTTAGGTGAGCCACTCTAATGTATGCACATATGTATATACATATGTATATATGAACACCTGTGCGCGACTATTAACATAAATATCTACCGCAGATGAGCACAACCTGGAATATTTTATACAGAGCAAAAGGTACTTTTAAAATGTCACATCGCCATGTGTGATATAAATTTTCGCGTAAATCCGTAACAGTCACGTTATAATACCACATTCACTTAAATATGCATATCGGAATATTTAATAGTATTTTAGGCTCATCTAAAGAAAAACGCAATAATCTCTTAGCACCTGAATATGAACCAATTAAAAGGCTGTCTTCAGTTCTCAAGAAAAACGAAAAATTCATATAAAATTATGGAAAAGAAATGGAAAAGAAGTCTTCTGCTACAAATTTTACTTAAATCGGTAGGCAGCTCTCAAGAAAAAAAATACATATATACTTACACATACTTCTGCAAGAAAATTTACAACAACGGCAACGTACTTTAGTGAAAAATATTTCTCGCAATTTTTCTTAAGAACTGCCTTAAGGTAGAATATTTTTTATATTTTTTGTTACCTTTTGGGAACCAAAATAAATTTTTTTTTTGATTTAAACGATTTGTACAATCTTTGATTTATTGAATTTGCCCCCGTTCCGAATAGCAGTAACGAGTTACACAAAATTGGTTGATACTGAGGCGGTAAGGGGTTTCGCCGAGTCAGCTAGTATTATCTTCGTTATTTTAAGGAGAGAAAAATGAATCTTAAAAAAAAATATTATCATGCTAAATTGTATATTCTTAATAAATTCGTACGCACTTTTTTATATAAATTGCAAAAAAATTGAAATGCATGAAATGTAAAGACAATTTGCGCACAACAAATTGGATTTTCATTACTTTCTCCTAGATATGTAGATGTAGATACAAGCGCATATCTAACAACGTATAGGACGTGGGACTGCAACAGCTACATACACACTAAACTGCTGCAGGAATGCATTTGTTTGCAGCTTCAAAACATTCTCTTGATGTTAGAATAGCCGCTCTCTTTCATTCTATGTTAGCGAACATGAATTAGAATGTTATCGAAGAGTACTGGAATGGAGTGGAGTGAATATTCTCTCTTAATAGAATATTCATATTCTCAACATTTGCAACGGAAGGTAGAGTATTTGAGAATACTCTAAAGGCTCTGTTATGCATACTTGGCATTGCTTGAGAGTTGTCACAAAAGCAATCTGTTAAATGAGCTTCGCGTGTAAGCGGTTACCCAACGCACTGCATTACATAAACAGAAGTCTGTTCGTTTTTGATTTCTACATAAAAATGGTATAGCATTGCATACACTGCCAAGTATGCATAACAGAACCTTAATATACTCGTATGTACAATTAAATATACATATGTATATATATATTTGTATTTCGCTGTTACTAGACTGTTGAAGTGAATTTAGTCCACATTAAAATTTGAAAATTTAATAATAGTAAATGGTCTTTATTTTAAAATTATGTCAAATAGACATAACCTATGCACATACATACAAACATATGTGCATATATCTTTAAATTAAAACAAAATGAAAACAAAATATTTATTTAAACTAAAACTTAACATGGAATTCATTTGGATCACTTAAAACATACATACACCCATCAGAATATGTTTCCGTACAGTGTTTTTTTTTTGTTAATGTTTCCAATGTTTTGCATAATAAATTTTTTCGTTAATTTTTAATAAAAAAATAGTTCATTCTGCATCAAAAAGCATATAAGTTAGTGTTTCAAAGTTTTTACAAAATTTTGGAAAATTAGACAAATTTTCACCAAAATTTTCAGCTTTTAAACTAAATTTTTTAGAATTTTGAGTATGCAGTTTTGTAGTTCACTTAATTTCAGTACAATAAAGTGCAAGTTTTAAATGGCTATGATGTTGCTCATTTTCTCCATATAACGAGTGCCTGGTAGTTTTTTTGTATGGGAAAAAATGCCGAAGAGCGTCAGTAAAAAAATTCTCAAAAATCAACGGTAGCTCATTGCCACTTAAAATTTCTGCTTTGTTATTCTGAAATTGAGAGAACTACAAAACTGCATACACAAAAAAATTCTAAAAAATGTTGTTAAAAGCTGAAAGCCGTGAAACCATGAAACCATGGCATTGTAATTAACAAAAGAGCCTCCATCAGTTGACTGTTAAGTATATTTAAGTACAGATATTTAAAATAAAATGAAACTTGTAAATACGTATATACATTAATAAAAACTTGCCTCATTTATATTTGCCATAATGTCAAAAATTTCTTTATTATTTATTATTAGTTTAATATTTATTACCCACAAAAGACCTACAGCACGATGCCGCTATTGCGCTTGATTAACAGCACTTCAGCAAAAAAAGGCTATGCTGGACATGTAATACTCTCAAATACTCGTTTATTTGAAGGTAAAAATGCGAAACAGAGAGCATAGGAAAGAAAATAAGAGGTACTCCGTTACACCAATGGTAATGAGCATTCCATTCGCCAAATATTATACTCCCGCTCATTCGCATTCTCTTGCTGATATCGTTTGCGAACCTTGTACAT